TGGCGCAGGAGTCGAGATATTTGGAAAACCCGTATTTATGATCCGATTAAGTTCACATTTAGAATGCATATTGCTTACATGAAAAGAAATAACTACACAAAAAATTTTGGCAGTTATGTGGCGCGTGAGTCTATATAATTAAAAATTCGGCATCTGTGCTCAAATTTGGTTTATATTCAGAATAGGTGTATTATCTATTTAAATTGAAATATATTGAAAATTTTGTTTGTTAAGTCAAATTTAGTATAATATTAACTGCAAGATTTCAAAAGACTAAAAAGTAGATAATAATATTATAGTTAAAAAAACTAAAAACACGCTTTTATTACAAAAAGAACTAAAAAGTATAAAATAATTTGTAGATATAGCGATTCCGTTTAAGAAGAATAGGAAGTTCCCTAACCTGATTTAATTTAACTGTTTTAAGTTAGCTAAAAATATGATTAAAGTGATTGATCCGTAGTTATAGTCAAAATAAAGTGCACTGTAAAGTTTGTTGCAGTTTTTTTACAGACACCCCATTGAAAGTTATGCCAAAAAGCTGCAACTAACTTTACAGTGCACTTTATTTTGACTATAACTACGGATCAATCACTTTAATCATATTTTTAGCTAACTTAAAACAGTTAAATTAAATCAGGTTAGGGAACTTCCTATTCTTCTTAAACGGAATCGCTATATCTACAAATTATTTTATACTTTTTAGTTCTTTTTGTAATAAAAGCGTGTTTTTAGTTTTTTTAACTATAATATTTTACTGATTCAAATGAAAGATGTATATATGTCGGTTCGATGCCATAATACAGAGAAACCCTTACTTGTTTGAAGCATTTTTGTTCGAGCTGAATCGGACGATATCATTTGTGTAGGCCTGGGACAGATTCTGTAACCAGTTAACGACAATTTTCGAATCGGTATCGTTTTTGTCGACGTTTGATATCAAATATTTCTAAGTCAACAAGTGCGATATCGATCCGAAACTTGTCGCTAACTGGCTACAGAATCTCTCCCCTGAAAGGCTTCTTCATCCGTCAAAGTATTTTTCTTGAACCTTGGATCGACTACGGTTAAAACTGATAAAATAATATTTTTCTGTGGCGATAAGTTCAAGTGTTTTATCCGATATCATAGAAATTAGTAATGAAAGTTTTTTCTAAACCTGAAATGCATATAATGGCGAGGATTTAATGTAAATAATCGGTATCGGATACCGAAATCTTTTTTAAGTATTGGGTACCGAGTATTGGGGACAATTCAGCACATCACTAGTCGCCCTCATTCTCGCCGCTCTCAGTTGTCAACTCTACGATGACGTCACGCTAAAATTACTCTCACGAATTCTGCTGCAATCGGCGCAATCTTGTATTCTATCATTCTTGGGTGCGATCAGTATCGCACTTTCCTTAAGCAAATGACGTTTGGCGAAACTTGACGAAACTTGATGTTAAGCACATTATAGTTTCAGAATAGGATTTATGTGTATTCGCACGTTTGCATACGCTTGCTTATTCATATTATAGTTAGCCCTAAACTCTTGGATTTTGGTTAATGAATTCAAAAATTAATTAGAAGAAAATCCTTTTTCTGAAAGCGCGAGTTTTGTTTTAACCTTACCAATTTTGCCTTAAGGGGAGAAGGAAATGAAACAAAATCTACATAAATCGATAAAAATCAATAAACATCGATAACAAAATCGATAAATATCGATAACAAAATCGATAAAAATATCGAAACAAAATCGATAAAAAACATCGCTAGCAAAATAGTTAAAAATATTGACTATAAAATCGATTACAAACTGATAAAAATATCGATAACAAAATCGATAAAAACATCGATTATTATGTATTTCGTTCCGAAAATATCGATAGCAAAATTGATAACAATATGGATAAAAAT